CGCGATTACAATCGGTTTTCGCGCCTTCGTGTTTTTACACAACGTTCGATGGATAACAGGGCGATTTCCGGCTACTCCCGAGGACGATCGTTCGGGTAGTTCGCGGAAAATTCGTCGAAAAAAAGCGGCAGGAAAAGCCGCTGCTGCCGGCTTTCGTTTCGGGGAGGGAGGAACGGAGCGGGCGCTTGTTCGCGAAATCCGGGGTTATTTTTGCGCGTCGGCACGCTGCGCTACACAGGGGTTAATTCTTTAATGGACATGTAACGCGAGAGCGCGTGAGTGTGTGTGCAGAACAAATTTCGATCTTTCGGACTTTTGAATATAGAAATATGAACGGTTAGCCATCCCGGACTCAGAAAATAATGCGTTTAGCTAATTGATATCTTGGTTAATGAAAGGCCATCGCATACGATTACGCACAACATTATTTCCCGCAATATTTTCTCTCTATGTTGCACACACAATATTATAATAATTAACATTCCATATCTCTATAGTTAAAGTGGCAAGCTTTGGTTCACCGTGCTTGGCGCGGCTCGACGTCAGGTGTACGATTATCTTTTCGCGAATCGCGGCTGACCCGTTGCGCAAGGCAGTCGCAGCTTCGACACGAGCTGATCATTAATTTTACAGCTGGATTAAACATGGGGCATCGTCTCAAGAGGAGAAACAAATCGGTACTTTGTCGGAGCGCCATTGTTCTCGCCGTCCTCTCGTAAACTATAAATCGAAGAAGACAATTCATTAAAGACGTTATATCGAAGCGGCGATATTAGTCGATGGTATAAATATAAGCGGTCGAAAAATTGATTTTAAAACACTCGCAATATTAAACGGTAAAGTTATAAATTTCCCGAATAAATAAGTATATTTTTTATTAACTGATCGTGATTATGATGGATCGATTTCGTTCCTGCTGAATTTATCGACAGCCGTATCATCACATTTCCCCCTTCCTTTCTCTATCGCAAAAGAAGCGACGCTCATTTACAAATGAGAAAATCCACGCTCGAAAATTGCTCTGCGGTTTGGAAAGCGTGCCGACGATGAATCTTTAAAAAGAGGAGGTTGCGGCAGCGCGGGAAAGACAATGCATCGCGCTGCGCCGCGCCTGCCGATGCAGGTATATGGCCCCGCGGCTCTATATATCGGGCCCCTCTTTCTCATCGCCGGAAAGCCGACGATTAGGCCAGTTTTGAAACGTAATGTAGCCGCCGTCACGAGGCCATTTGTCTTGCCGCGCGTCGGTGGACGTCGCGCTGCGGGATATATATTCTGTCTCGAACTGTGGAGGAGCGAATAGGAGATAAGCGAGAAAGAGAGAGAGAGGAGGGGAGGGGGGGAAGGGGGAAGAA